TCAGAAAAGTATATTTTTTATTTTTCTTTTTTTTTAAAATTAGTGAAAAATAAGATTATAATATAATTATCAAAAAATAATTTTAAAATCATTATAAAATTTATTATTTTTTTTATAGTAAAATAATCTTATGAGCATGAATTTATGGAATCAATATCTTTAAGATCATCTTAAATCTATTGAAAATTTTTAGCTAGTTTCTGTAAAGTAGGTAGCCTTAAACAATATCGTTTTAATAATCAGATATTCTGAGGTATCTCAAGAGAGTTAAATTGATCATGTAACATAATAGCTACAAGTTCCTGATAGACTGTGGTTGCTAGTAGTTTAGTTAGCAAAAATAAATATATAGCAAAAAAATAAAAAAAAATTTTTACTTACAAATAGAATGTTTTATCACCCAAATAAAATAAAATATTTTGGTAAAGTTCGCAAAATATGGGTTAGACTTATTTTTAAGATGTTCTGGAAACCAACTTATCAGTTCTTTTAATATATCACTAGATTCTTTCTCTTTAAATATATTATCAGATTCTTCTTCTTCAAATGTATTATCAGATTCTTCTTCTTCAAATATATCATCAGATTCACCAAATATGCTGCTAGATTCTTCTTTATATTCTTCTTCAAATATATTACAAGATTCTTCTTCTTCTGATACATTACTAGATTCATTTGCCTCCTGTTGGTTATTTTGATCATCATCACTCCCCTGATAATTGTTGTCTTCCCAGTGATCGTTGTGAATGTCATAAGCTAGAAGATGCTAGCTTCTAATATTTTTATTTAAAAAATAAGCTTTATCTTTACTGAAAGTATTACTAAATGATGTCAAGACATTTTTAAGCATAAATGTTAAAGAGTCTTGTGATAAATTTTGGCTTGCTACATTATCTACATCATCAATATTAAAAAAATCCTGATATGATCTACATTTGCGAAGCTTTAAAAGTGAACTGTCAGTATTTCATTTCTTGTTTCGTATGTATAAGGTAGGAATTTGTACTTTAGACATATTTAGGAAAAGAATATAGATTTTTTTTTATTATTCTCTTTTATTTAATTAATCACATGATAAGAAATACAATATATATTTTATTAGTTATTGAGTTACATACGTATATATATATGTATTTAAGTTATTTTGATACTTAACATGATCCTGACTAATCGATTGTATTACAATCAACATAATAAATCAAACTTGTAAATAACTTGAATTCAATTAACAACAGTGCTTAATTAATAATATAATTTAACAGTTACTATAAATGGCCATATAAGAAATGCAAGTGTGTATTTTAAATTTTTACTTGCAAATCAATTATAATTGGTTTAGAAACTAAGTATATCTTAATTCTAATTCTTATTCTAGAGGCTAGATAGTTTTTTAAATTGATTACCAACAAATTTGTAAATTAAAATCATGTGGTGTATTTAAATATCTTCTAATAAAAATAATTGATTTTTTTCAAACTAAGATAAGCAGAAAATCATAGTTCTTTGAAGATTAAAAAAAAAAAAAAAAAAAAAATCATAATAATTTTTTTTTCAGAAAAATGAAGTCTGTCATGACAGGTCAATTTTAATATAATGACCTTATTACAATTTCGGTATGCGTAATAATGTAGATTTATATCTAAGATAAATCAATTATTAGTAAGAGTTGACTTTTTACTAATAGAAAATAATAAAGAAAATACATATCTCACTAACATAGTAGATGCGAAAATTGTCAAGTAAAATTATAAAAAATTCACAAAAAAGAAATAATAAAGGAAACTTAAGTTCCTTATAAAGTATTTTCTATATATTATACGTATATACAAATCATACTATATTAGCATGGTTTTAAAACAAAAATACCAAATAGAGGTCTGAATAGTAAAATTAAAAAGGTTATTCAGAACAAGCAAGATATGTACGTACATATATATATATATACTTTATCAAAAATATATATTAATAAAAGAGTTTAGGTAGAATTCAAAACCAGTTTACAGATACTGAACATAGATCTAAATGACTTTTGAATAAAGAAAAATATATATAAATCAAAATACAGTTATTATGCATTACTCTAATTCTTTCTGGCCAAAATAGATCTGAAGTTGGCAGTCCATCATTAATGGGTATTAAACATAGATCTAAACGACTTATTGACAGAGAAAGGTATAATTGAATAAGTGAATTTAAACCTACAAAAAATAATCTAATTATTGTCAATTCTTTCTGGTCAAAATAGATCTGTAGTTGGCAACCCGACAGTTGTAATTAGTCAATACCAGTCTATGAATACTGAATATAAATCTAAATGACCTATTGACAGAGAAAGGCAAGTGAATTAAACCTGCGCAAAAAAAAAAATAACTATAATATTATCAATCAATTCCTTCTATCAAAAAGTTCTGAAGTTGATAACCCCTCATTCAAAATTAATCAAACTACGGGTACCAAACGTAGACCTAATAAAAGAGTTAAAAGGTATAATTGAATATGCGAGTTTAAATCTACACACACAAAAAAACTAAATTATTATCAATTCTTTCTGGCCAAATAAATTTGAAGATGATAGCCTGTCACTTAAATTAAGTCAAAATCAGTCTATGGCTACTGAACATGGATTTAAACAGCCTACCAACAGAGAAAGGTATAATTGAATATGCGAGTTTAAACCTACACACACACACAAAAAAAAACTAAATTATTATCAATTCTTTTTGGCCAAATAGATTTGAAAATTATAGCCCGTCACTTGAATTAAATCAAAATCAGTCTATGGCTACCGAACATAGATTTAAATGACTTATCAATGAAAAAAGATATAATTGAATAAGCAAATTCAAACCCACACACAAAAAAAAAAACTAAATTATTGTTTGGTCAAAATAGATCTCAAAATCAGTCTACGAGTACTGAACATGGATCTAAATGATCTATCGGCAAAGAAAGGTATAATTGAATAAGCAAATTAAATCTATATAGATACAAAAAAAAATTAAGATAATATTAATCAATTCCTTTTTGTCAAAAGTTCTGAAGTTGATAGCCCTTCATCCAAAATTAGTCAAATCCAATCTACGAGTTCTGGAGAAATAAGCAAATTTATACATAAAAAGCATAAATTAATATACAGTATATGTATAAAGTCAAAATATAGCTATGGTTGTTTTATAAGGTTTATTGAGCACCACTCTGGCTCTTTCTGATCAAAATGGTTCTGAAGTTTGCAGTTCTTTATCAGAAATCAGCTGACAAGACTGTGAAGATAGTATCCAAGTAGCTAACTTGAAATCTAATGATGATATTTCTGATAAACTACAATCTTAATTTATAACCGATACTACTTCTTTCTCATAAATACATAAATTTGAGTTTCATAAAACAAACTTCGACTTATATAAGAAACAACTTCTAAGCTATACAAATACATTTTTAGATAATGATAATGATGCTAAATCTACTTCATGTATGAATTATTTTATTCTCTTTATTATCTAATATTAATTTTATTTTATTTTAAATCTTTAATATTAGCTTCTGGCTCACGTGATATATTCCATCAAGATGTAACAGTATTTGAAATTGCAATATTTGTTGCAGAATATCTTGAGATTCTTATAATAGCTAATTTGATACATAAAAGCATACAAACAAATTAGAATTAATCTTTCATATCTAAAGAATCTATATTTAGAGAACGATCAACTCCATTATTAAATCAAGATAAAGAACTATCAATCAGAGAATCAACTTTAGAGATATATATTTATATATTTTTATAAAACATTATTTATTTTGTCAAAGCTTATTATCTTTCATTTAGGTAAGGCTTCGAATATGGCTTGAAGAATTAAAATATCTATTTCTTCGAATGCAAAACCTATCACAAGCAGTATTCAATCACTTAGTAACTACAGTATTACCAAGTTCCAAACTCGCAGATGAAGATTTCCAACAGCTTCTTAAGAAATCTAAATTAATGTTTAACAAATTTTACCACACTTTTAATAAAGATCTCAAGATACTTGCCAAAGGCTATATTAATAATTATAGGTACGTGCATATAATACTTTTTTTAACAGTAAATTTGGTGAAAATTGATCTTTATTTAAGTTTCAAATTTAACTAAATAAAGCTAATTGCTAAGGTTCTTCATATAAATTAAAATATTAAATAGGAACCTACTTTATAAATTTAGCTTATCTTAAATAAAGATTAATCTACCAAACTATTATAATGTACTATACTACTTATTTGGCTATATATTAATATTTATTTATTACAGCAATGAAGATACAAATTATCTAGATGAAAGTACATTAAACACATATATTAATCACGATGTTTCAACAAAAATTCTGCAAAAGTATCTCTCAAACACTAGAGAATTAGAACTTGCAGATAAGACACAAGGTGTATTAATAAAATTTGTTTAAGCAGCATTCAAATTACATATCATTCATATTCATAAAGAAACCAATTGTGAGTTCATTTCATACAAACAAGTTTTAGAAGATATCAAAAATATGGACCAAATTACTATATCACTTGACATTCCAACACAAGTACTATAACCCAAAGTATGAAATTCTGAAAGAATATTCTGACAATTTATTAATCTAAAAACTAAATTCTAATTACAAAGAATCACACATCCGTAAATATATTATTCTAATACAATAATCCTGAAACCCTATGTTAGGGTAAGGTAGATATTAGCATTATAGTTATTTGACATACAACATTTGGGATTATGTATTTACAAGATTATGATTTTTCAGGATTATAATTATCTAGTTTTTTTTTTCAGAATTTAGCTTTCAGATTAATAAATTGTCAAAATATTCTTTCGGAATTTTATACTTTGGGATATATAGTAGTACTATTGAGATTTAAAGCTTCAGAAATTCATATCAAACCCAATTAGAATCATCTTAATTCTAAATCAGAACAGCTTTCAGGTAAGAATTTCATAATTTTGGCCAAAATTATACAAACTAAAATTCAAATTTTTTATTCTAAGTTCAATTTTAACTCTAATACCAATCCAAAAGTTCTAATTTTGCCAAAATAGTTTTCAAAATTTCTATCTGAAATGAGTTCCCGGTTATATAATAGTTGATGATCTACACCATGCCAGATATATGATAGTAAATAATCTATAGTAGCTGCAATAATAATTATCATAATTCAAAAAAGTACAATAAGGGCTTCGCATATAAAATAAAACAATATACTGTAAGAGGGTGTTGATCATTACTATAATGTAACTAGACTTTGAAGAAGTAGCCCTGTTAAACTTACTCGATTTGGATAATTTTAAAAATTAGCAAAGATGAATTATTATCTATATATAATATAAAAGTTTATATAAAAATAAAGGCATTAGTTTACAAATCAGTTGAGATAGTGAATATTAAAAAAAATATTAGGTTGAGTATTATCTTTATAGAATTAAAATGCTTTATAATTAGAACATAAAGAATTTGTAAAAGACAATTTATTTGATAACTTAATAAACATGTTTTAGTTATTTATATTACTTCTAAAATAATTAATATTTTATAATACTAGTATTTGTTTTTATATATTTATATATATTAGTTCAATTTTAGATTATTAATAAATACAAGCTATATTATTTTTATTATCGTCAATTAAGTATTTTATTATAGTTAATATAATATCTTATAGTTATTTACCTAATAATCATATTATTATAATATTGTAATTATATGTTTTAATTATAAAATAATTATAAAGTAATAATAAAATCTTCTAATTATATATAATAATTGTATTTTGATTATATAAATAACGATTATATATTAATTGTAATATAATGATTAAACATTTATTGTATAATTATTATATAATTATTATACAATAATTATATAATTAATGTTATATAATTATTATATAATTGTTATAAAATATATATCTTATTATTATTATTAAACTATTATATAATTATATTATCTTTAAGATTATAATAAAATAGTTATATATATATAAAATTATTAAATTAATAACTTTAAGATATCGTATATTTATAAAAAAAATTTGATAGGTTTCTGTAAAGAAGACTCAAATAGAAAAAAAATTATACAAATTGCAATAAAATTTTTGACCTAATGATATACAGATTAATAAAAAGAAATCTAAGTTAATCATCTGCAACTCATTAGAAAAAAAGAAGACTGAAAGTTTCTTTTTGACAACAAGTAACTAACAAAAGAGAAAAAGAATAAAATAATAAGATTTCTTTGAGTATTGCTGAATAATAAACTAGACGAATCTCTAGTTAAGGCAAGAGCAAAAGAAATTGTTTGTTCAATAGCAAAGACTCTCAGTTCCAAAAAATTAACTATAGTACAAGCAGCATATATTAATAACATGTATATAGTATCAAAGCTATGCTATATTACAAGTTTCCAGATTTAAGCAAAAGGTAATTGATAGTCTTCAAGCTTCTTTACTTGCATTGATCAAAAATAAGACAAGACTAGCAAGAACCATAAACAATAGTACAATTTTACACAAAAGTATTAGCAACTATAATGCTTTATGAGACAAATTCTTAACAAAACAAATCTCTAGTTTATACTTTTGATTAAACATTTCTGGCCCAGAAGAGATATTGACTTTGCTAAAAATAATTGATGATATAAGAATAATAGGATCAACAGAGAATAGTGGTATGAAGAGCTATCAGCAGTTTGTGCACTTATTTGGAAAAACAATTTAGTATATTGAACAATACTAAATGTTAAAGAACTAGGAATCATGTTAAGGTTTAGAAACACAACCCTGACAATAGAAAGCAAAGATTACAGATTAGCAATATACTTAAAGAAAGCTTTACTGTGCTAGTAGTTAGAACTCTAAAGAAATTGAATCTAATTTCATTTAAACAATTGCTAACAAACACAGAAGACTAGTTAATAATCTGGTAGCAGCTAAAGATTCTTAGAAATAGTTCAAGTAAAGGAAAAAAGCAAAGTAGTTCCAAGCAATAGAAAAAAAAGTTCTAGAAAATAAAGTAAAAAGAACTGTCAAGATAGAGTTTAGACAGAAGACCTAAATATTTGGATAATTCAGGCTGTTCAGACTTGTTAGGTAATGATCAAAGAAAGAAAGACTGAATAATAGTTTAGAGTACAAAAAACAAAGAAAATAAAAACTCAGTCATCAAGAAAATCCTCAAAAAGAAAGATAAACAGATCTTAACAAAATATTAAAATGTAGAAAAAGATTCAAATACACTAATAATCAAGTTAAAAAATATATTAGCTGCAAACATGATCAAGAGAAGTAAAAAAACTCATGCAGAGCATTAATAAAGAAGTAATCTTCACAGAGATTTATCATGAAATATATAGACAAACAGAAGAAGAAATCAACCAAAAAGCTTTTAAAACAATACAATAGCTTCTAAGACCAGAAATATTATCAAATAAAAAAGAAGTATATAAAATTTGTTACTACAACTTAGATATTAAAGTTATTAATAAACAATATATTAGCAAGAAAATGAAAAAGGATCTCATAAAAAAAAAACTCAGAAATAAGAAAAAGTCCATTGTTTCAAATAGTATTCTATACTGATAGATCTCTTAGAAGTAGAAATACATCTATACAGTATAAACCAGCCAGGATGAGAGCTAGCTAGTTACAAGTTAATAAGAATGAAAACTAAAAGATAAATGAGGGTTATTTTGAAGCAAGAAATTGGCCATCATTGGCAAAAGCAGAATTGCTTAGAATTTGGTATATATTTCTTTTAGTATCAAGTAAAAGAAAGGTAAAAATTTATACAAACAGTGTATAGAAGGAAGGGAAAAAAAGAAAGCAATGTAACAAATTTTTAAGAAATAGAATTATAGTTTAGTAAATAGTATAGTTGAAATAACTAAGATTAAGGGAATACAGTTAGAATTAGTAAAAATAAAAGGATATAGTGAAAATAGATAGAATGATTTAGCAGATAAATTAGCGAAATTAGGTTTTAAAATAAAAGATAAAGATGATATAGTAGAGAAACCCTCTAGGAGTTGAACATCTCTTTGTGTTGGGAAGGCAAAACAGTAGAAGACTATACAAAATATTTTATTCAAACAGTTCTTTGTTTTCAAACAAGTTTAGACTAGAGAATATCAACTATAATACAAAAAGAAGAACCAGATAACATATTAGAAATAAATTACTGGCTGACTCTGTGAAAGAAAATTAGAAGCCAGAATAGAATCAGATATACTAGTATAAAGAAGAACTAATAATTAGAGGTACTGATCAAGTGCTTACATGAAAGACTACTAGTACTTAAAACCTTGGCCACTAGAAGACCAAACCTATATGAAAACCTATTTTGTATAATCTGCAAGAAAAATAAAGAAAAAGACCAAGTCCATCTAATGAAATATAAGAAGTATAAAGAAAGATAGAATGAATTAGAACAAACTGTATCAAATTTAGCTTGGATAGTCTTGTTTATAAAAATGAGAAGTTAGCTTAACAAAGTTCAACTCAAAAACATTTTATAGAACCCAACAAGAAAAGAAAGAATTAGAACAAGAGCTAGTATCCTCAAAGGTCTAATCCAAGAAAAAGTCTTCAGAAAATTACTTGATATTATAAAGTCATTAAAAGAAGTGAAAAATTATTTGGAAATAGCAGTAAACTTAGCATGAAATTTCTTTTATAAGAATATCTAGAAGTGAAGATGTCTAGCTGTCAATGAATAGGAAAAAGAAGAAGATATAGATACCAAAAAGAAGAAGAAAATAGAAAACAAAAACAGAGAGCTTTGGAGAGTTTCTCAATAGTCAAGATCAAACCAAGAGAAACATAAGAAAAAAAAGAAAAAGAAAAAGAGGAGAAAAAGAAACAAAAAAAGGTAGCTTGGTTTATATCAATAAAAAATTATATTGTAAATAAAGCAAAACTATTCTGGTATAGTTTTGCAGGCTAGCTTGATGTAGCCTCCAGTGTGGGTATAAGCCTTATCTGATAAGGCAGACCACTCTTGGATATCCCTAGGGTAGCCAAGAGATGTCAGATCTGTAGCTTAGATAGTTAATATATATATATATATGCTTTGATCTAATAAAAATACTAGCAAAGCTGCTGATAATTAAAAAAAAATCTTTATTAGTTGAAAACAAAATAGAAAACCTTTTTATGCTGTTCTAATTTTAGGTTCTTCTTCTGTACTGCAATTATAATAATTTGGTCTATTGCTATTTTCTGCAAAAATTTTAAATAAAATAATCAAAGAAATGACAGTTTATAATTTATTTTAATTTAAATTATCAAATCATATTGGATTGCAGTCTATATCATAGTATATTTGAAGTCAAATTAATAAGACAAAATATTGGCTTTAATGATATTTGAAGAACAGAAAGTTCGACAAAAAACAGCATAGTAGACTTTAATTTTAATTGGTCAATCACTAAATGTATTATTATATATATATTGTATATATCATCTGATTTTAACTAAATTGTATGCTATAAAAATGAATTTTAGAATGAAACTGAATACATATTCAGAAACTATACCTTTTACATAT